ATATTACTGTCACACACACACACCTGCATATATATATATATATATATTACTGTCACACACACACACCTGCACATATATATATATTACTGTCACACACACACACCTGCACATATATATATATATATTACTGTCACACACACACCTGCATATATATATATATATATTACTGTCACACACACACACCTGCACATATATATATATATATTACTGTCACACACACACACCTGCACATATATATATATTACTGTCACACACCTGCACATATATATATATATATTACTGTCACACACACACCTGCATATATATATATATATTACTGTCACACACACACCTGCATATATATATATATATATTACTGTCACACACACACACCTGCACATATATATATATTACTGTCACACACACCTGCACATATATATATATATTACTGTCACACACACACCTGCACATATATATATTACTGTCACACACACACACCTGCATATATATATATATATATATTACTGTCACACACACACACCTGCACATATATATATATACTGTCACACACACACCTGCATATATATATATATTACTGTCACACACACACCTGCATATATATATATATTACTGTCACACACACACACCTGCATATATATATATATATTACTGTCACACACACACCTGCATATATATATATTACTGTCACACACACACCTGCACATATATATATATTACTGTCACACACACACCTGCATATATATATATATATTACTGTCACACACACACCTGCATATATATATATATATATTACTGTCACACACACACCTGCACATATATATATATTACTGTCACACACACACCTGCATATATATATATATATTACTGTCACACACACACCTGCATATATATATATTACTGTCACACACACACCTGCATATATATATATATATTACTGTCACACACACACCTGCACATATATATATATTACTGTCACACACACACACCTGCACATATATATATATATATTACTGTCACACACACACCTGCACATATATATATATATTACTGTCACACACACACCTGCACATATATATATATTACTGTCACACACACACACCTGCATATATATATATATATACTGTCACACACACACCTGCATATATATATATATATTACTGTCACACACACACACCTGCATATATATATATATTACTGTCACACACACACACCTGCACATATATATATATTACTGTCACACACACACCTGCACATATATATATATTACTGTCACACACACACCTGCACATATATATATATATTACTGTCACACACACACCTGCATATATATATATATTACTGTCACACACACACACCTGCACATATATATATATATATATATATTACTGTCACACACACACACCTGCAGATATATATATATATTACTGTCACACACACACCTGCACATATATATATATATTACTGTCACACACACACCTGCAGATATATATATATATTACTGTCACACACACACCTGCATATATATATATATATTACTGTCACACACACACCTGCACATATATATATATATTACTGTCACACACACACCTGCACATATATATATATTACTGTCACACACACACCTGCAGATATATATATATATTACTGTCACACACACACACCTGCACATATATATATATTACTGTCACACACACACACCTGCACATATATATATATATTACTGTCACACACACACCTGCACATATATATATATTACTGTCACACACACACACCTGCATATATATATATATATATATTACTGTCACACACACACCTGCACATATATATATATTACTGTCACACACACACCTGCACATATATATATATATTACTGTCACACACACACCTGCATATATATATATATATATTACTGTCACACACACACCTGCATATATATATATATTACTGTCACACACACACCTGCATATATATATATATATTACTGTCACACACACACCTGCATATATATATATATTACTGTCACACACACACCTGCACATATATATATATTACTGTCACACACACACCTGCATATATATATATATATATTACTGTCACACACACACCTGCACATATATATATATTACTGTCACACACACACCTGCATATATATATATATATTACTGTCACACACACACCTGCATATATATATATATATTACTGTCACACACACACCTGCATATATATATATATATTACTGTCACACACACACACCTGCACATATATATATTACTGTCACACACACACCTGCACATATATATATATATTACTGTCACACACACACCTGCACATATATATATATTACTGTCACACACACACCTGCACATATATATATATTACTGTCACACACACACACCTGCATATATATATATATTACTGTCACACACACACCTGCATATATATATATATTACTGTCACACACACACACCTGCATATATATATATATATATTACTGTCACAC